GAGCTGTAAGGTCCTTCTTAACCTAAAAACCATTCTGGGGTTCTGTGATTTTGTGGCACACTAAAGGAATTTGCACAGATGTTGCTCTACTCAGCTATGAAGCTTTCAAGGGCATGTGTATGTGAGAGGCAGGACTGAAAACGTCTGATTTGGTCTTGGGCATTTTAGGAAAATGTGCCTTGTGAGAGTAGTGTATTCATGACCATTCAGAGGTGTGGCACTTCCACTTGTAGTGAAGTGTGCTCTTGACATACTAGGGTCTTTTGTTCCCTCAGCTCATGTATGGATTGCAAAGCCATAGGTGTTGAAAAGGTTAGCTCTAATTAGATGTACTGAGCAAGCAATATCAATGTTTTCCTCACAGTAAAATGGCTTGTTAAGAGTTGGCCAGATAAAATGCTAGATTAGGAAGTAACTGACCTTTTCCAGTAGCCAACAGTTGGACGTTTTTGCTTTGGTAATCCTTTTACTTTGGTATCTTTAGCAAATCAATTCTATAGGTGTATGCTCAAAACATTTCTAAATATTGAATCATAGAATGGTTAGGGTTGGAAAGGATCTTAGATCACCTAGTTCCAACCCGTCTGCCATGAGCAGGGACACCTCACACTAAACCATGTCGCCCAAGGCTCTGTCCAACCTGGCCTTGAACACCGCCAGGATTGGAGCATTCACAACTTCCTTGGGCAACCTATTCCAGTGCCTCACCACCCTCACTGTAAAGAACTTCTTCCTTAGATCTAATTTAAACTTTCCCTGTTTAAGTTTGAAGCCATTACCGCCTGTCCTACCACTACAGTCCCTAATGAAGAGTCTCTCCCCAACATCATTATAGGCCCCCTTCAGATACTTCAGATATACCACGATGAAGACCAACAATTAGTTTTATTTGTTTGCTTTGTGGTTTTGTTGGTATTGTTTTCTTTGTTGTGTTGTGTTGCACTGATGGTTTTGTGGAAACCAGAGGAAGGTAGAACGATGTAATAAAGCCAACAAAGAAAATGCATTTTTCAAAAAGAAATGTTACAGTTTCAGGTTAAGGTAATTCTGATGCAGGTTCAAGACAGCGATATTTTGGGGGGGTTGTTTTTTTTGTGGGTGGGTTTTTTTTTTTTTTTTTTTTTTTTAACGTTGTTGTGCACAGATGAGAATGTTAATAACTAACTTCTGACTTCAAAAAAATACCACCCATTAGCTGATTTTGTGAACAGGTTTCATAGGTTTTTCCTCTTTCTGGTAGTTTACTAGGCAGCTTGTCAGCCTAAATATCCTTAATTACATGGGAGTGGTAAAAATAAAGCACATTAGTACACTTCAGTAGTCCTATTTCAAAACCAATTCTTCAGGGATTTTCTCATATGAAGGATTAAACCACTAGAGGGCCCTGAAGTATTTAATGTGGTTCCAATATCCTGCTTTCTTGTGCTTTTAACTAGCCTTCAGTTTTTATTTAATTGCTTTTCTGCAGGCAGTAATCGTATTTTAGGGCATATTGGGTGGTCTAAATTAATCAATTTTGGTTATTGTCTACTAGCTGGTAATTTTATTCTTAGTCTGCTCTTTTCTAATTACTCCTGATGATGAGAATTGTCTGTTAGCTGGGAAAGTTTTAATTTCAAGAATTTTTTGGAAGACCTTTCTGACTAAACCTGTATGAAGTAGATCTTGTGTTTCAAGAATGCTCCTCATGAAGTGGAAAACCACTGCATTTGTAAAAACAGGGTACAGATGGTAGAGAAAAGTAGTCTCAGGAGATGTACAGCTTGGAGTGGGTAAGAGAATGATCTTTGTGCTTGCTGCATGCCCATGCCATGTAAGAACTGCTGCAGGGGTTGTCTGACTTACACAGGGGATGACTTGGTTTTAGATGTTGTGTATTAGAACTTTACACTGACTCTTGAACAAAGAGTGTGTTGATGGTTCATAAAAAAAAAAAAAAAGTTTAGTCCAGATAAACCACTGCAGCTTTATGAGAGCAGTCATTCCTGGTTATATTGAGAGTTGAAAGTATCTGTGTGCTTTCCTTCCATTTCTATCTTTTTTCTACAAAGACCAAATAATATTATATACTGGTGTACATGTCTCTCTGCCTTTATTTTATAAAGAGAAAACATACATAATATACCTATTTCCCCTTATGGAATGCTGTGATTCCCTCTTTCTGTTCCCTCCCCATTGCCACCACAGCTATGTCCAGGTTCAGCTGTGCCATTCACATGATTTACTGGTACTTCTATTTTGATACTGTATACATTTTTGCATGAAAGTTAATAACTAGAAACTACTATTGAAGGACAGATTTAGTGACTAATGAGTACTATTTGAGGATATTGAACAGGAGGTCAGGTTTGGTGGAGTGTCTGCCTTCAAAAATGAAAGCATAAGTTAAAAGTCTGTTACAGAAACTGATTCAGGACAAACTGTTCT